TCTAAACCTCTACTCAGCTCAATGCCTATTCATGTGCTTCTCAAATTCTTGTACTGATCGGATGACTTCTTAGGTAACTAATAAGTTGTGTTTCTCAATAACAACTCAGTGATACATGAAAAGAGGAACAGAAAGTGATGAGTATATTACATAAAAAATTGAATACAAGTATTAAAAAAAAAACCTTCGCCCCTATTATCTTATCCCCATCCCAAACAACCCAAATACTCAACATCCCAGACATCCCAGACAACCCAAACAACCCAAATAACCCAAACATCCCAAATACTCAACATCCCAGACATCCCAGACAACCCAAACAACCTAAATAATCCAAACATCCCCAAAACTGTACGCTTTAAGGTACACATTCAACAATAGTCAAATCCTAAACCTGTAAGTTCTAAAATAATATTAAAAAATAAAGATATTTGCTAATTTATAGGCGATTTTAATTGTAACAGCATGAAGGTTGAACGAGAAATATACAGTCCCTGCTCCTCTTAACCCTTAACACAAGTATTTATTTATGAAGGTAGCGGCTGTCCCTTCGCTGTGCTTTTACTTCACCCGCGGCCATTTTTCTATCTAACTAATATTTTCCGCTATATACTAGCTCGTGGTGTCTTGGCAATAGCCGCAGTTTAGTATGGTTGAATTCAATTATACAAGTAATATAACATAAGCAATACAATAAATACACATTCCGAGAACCTTTTTCAACATCAGCGGTTACGAACTCCAACGCCTATAGGCGCTATGGGCTCTACAAATTTTAAACCACAAACGAATAAACACCGACTCACTCGTCGTTTTGTTTTTTTTTTTTCATTGAATTCCTATTTGACGGCAGCAGGGTCAACACAGACGCCCCTTTGGAAAGATGGCGAAGAGGCTGTAAGCGGCTTGGGCATCCTTCCAACAACCGGAGTTTAGTCGGCGGTAGGCAAGTGCTTCCGATCCTCGTGATACATGAAAATAGAGAACAGAGAGTGATTAGTAACATGCATAAACCAAAAATCTCCCCTACCTTCCGTCCCTTTTGACCCTTACTCAACATGGGTTAGTACGTGTCGGAATTTCGGTGTTAGTGACATGCAATTCCAAGCAATCTAAGCGTATTAGTTAGTAACGTCACGCTGGTGGTTAATAAGAAATACATATGCGGTTACACCATTACCTGTGCGGGTCTTCTCCGCCCCTATCCCATCGTCCCTTTTTTCTTTTTTTTTGCCACTCTTACCGACACCACGTCCCAACGCTCAAAATTTCCAGTATGAGTTAGGTTAGTAACCTCCTCACGGGTTGGACTTAGATAGGGTAAAGAAAACGCAACTCCAATTCACTTCAGCTCCCCTTTAGTGAGGTACAAATGAAAAACAATCAACATTTTACAAAACCGGACAGAGAGAGGAACAATCCTCCTGCTCCCAATCAACATAACGCAAATTCACAAAATAAAATATAAGTTTGTTTCCGCCTTTTTCTTTGGTTAACCCCCAACACAGTCCGGCTACGGCCGAGGAGTACGGCGATGATAAAATTTCAAGTTGGTGATGTTGTACCTTCCTTTTTGTACCTGGGTGTCGGGGTCGACGATAGTATATACATTTTGGTGAGGGATGGTTTTTACCTCGTAAGGTCCGGAATACAGAGGGCACAGTTTGGCAGTTCGTTTTAAACCAGCATCGGAGACGGGACACTCGCGCAGCAACACCAGGTCACCCACAATCAAACGATCCGTGTCGTGACATTTTTTCCGTTGACGAGTCGCACGCTGTAACAGGTTTTGTTTTGCGATCTCGCGGATCTCCGTGACCGTTAAACCTTTTGAAGGGGGCAACCGCTGCCTAATTGCCTCCTGCAAAACATTCACCGGGGTTTCCCCATAAAGAATTTCGTAAGGCGAGAAATTAGTAGACAGGTGCGGAACCGAATTAAACAAATCCTGACAGGAGCCCACCAACTCGGCCCATCCGGTATGTTTCCGAACGCAGTAGGTCCGAAAAATGCGACCCAATTCTTTCATTACCCTTTCGCTGGGATTCGACGCCGGGTGACGAATAGAGGATAATCTGACCTGTATGCCGGCGAGTTTTAACTGTGACTGCCAGAGTCGGGAGGTGAACTGGGTACCATGGTCCGAAACATTCGTCTGAATCTTTATAAAGCTTACAAAGTCCTCGAGGATCTTTCTTACCGCCAACTTGGCCACCGGTCGGCGCATGGGATACAGGCGCACGAATTTTGAGAACGTATCGATTACAACAAAAATGTAGGCCACTCGGCCACGTCCTTCAGGGAGCGGTCCGAAAAAATCACACGTCACCAGTTCGCCGATTTGGGTGGCGACAACTGGTTGCGTCGAACCAGTGAGATACCGGTTGGGATATTTGTTTATTTGACACAGATGACATGAACGTATAAACCTGCGCAGACTGGAACGTAGCTGGTCGGTATAAATAAGTGGTTTTAAAAGCCGATAAAGTTTAGCGACGCCAAAATGCCCATAAAGCTCGTGATACGCCTGGAACAAAGAGGAACGAAGGGTCTGAGGAACCACCAAGCGAACAGGTTCCGACGCGTTACCGCGAAAACATAGAAGGTCGCGGTGGAGGAAACAACACGCTAAAAGCTGGTTTTGGCGATGATTCAAGGTAACAGACCGTCCTGATAGGGTGGTATATATGGGTCCAAACAACGGGTCGGCACTTTGGAGCTGACTAAGGTTGGCAAACTCGGTGTTCAATTCAGGAAGCTGGGCAATGTCGAACAAATTACATAATTGGGTCTGGAGAAGACCACTTGCGGCGATGGGTTCCCTATCCTTGGAGGGCAACCCTTCGGAATTTATGGAGTATCGAGACAGGACATCCGCTACAACATTGTCCTTTCCCCGCACGTGTTCCACAACATAGTCAAACTCGGTCAAGTACATGACCCACCTTGTCAAGCGATCATTCAAAAGCCGACTCTGTTTGAGGAACTTTAAAGCATGGTGATCCGTACGTATAATAATGTGATGGCCCAACAGTAACGTGCGGTATTTCTTTAGGCCAAATATAATAGCCAACAACTCCTTTTCCGTGACAGTATATAGCAACTCTGCACCGCTTAACACTCGACTCGCGTATCCCAGGACCAAATGTTCCCCATCATCATTTTCTTGGTAGACTTCCACTCCTAAAGCGTATCCCGAACTATCGGCCTGAAGGAAGAACGTCTTACCGTAATCGGGAAACTTCAGCGTAACAGTTTTAAGAAACAAATCCTTGACTCGTTGAAAAGCTTCGTTCTCGGTCGAACCCCATTCCCATTTAACCGACTTACGCAGCAAACGCGTTAGGGGCAGTAAGTTATCACTATAATTCTGCACGAACCGCCGGTAGAACCCACACAGCCCCATGAAACCCCGCAGTTGTTTTATATTTTTGGGTTCTGGAAATCGGGAAATGCATTCGACCTATCAGGGTCTGTGCGTATGCCCTGCGACGTAAGTAAATGTCCCAAGAACTTCACATCTGACTGGACGAAATGGGTCTTATTAAAATTTATGGTGAGCTTGGCAGCGCGTAATTTCCCAAATACGGCGGTGAGATGAAAGAGATGATCCTCGAAACTATTCGATACCACCAAAATGTCGTCTATATAATTGAACACATTCTCCCTGAGTTCCGTTCCTAAAATTACATCCATAGCACGCGAAAAACTACCTACGGATACCTTGAGTCCGAAAGGCAAAACCTGATAGGTATAGCTACAGTGATTGTACATGAAACCGGTGTATTTGGTAGATTCAGGGTTCAAGGGAATTTGCCAGTACGATGCCACCAAGTCGATAGTACTTACGTACCGGACATTTGAGACTGAAGCGAAAAGGTCCTCTGGAGGTTGTGGGGCGTCGTAATCAGATATCATAGGCTCGTTTAACCACCTCGCGTCCAAACAAATCCTAACAGTCCCGTCCTTCTTCTTGACCACCGTCATGGGGCTGCAATACGGGGTAGCCTCTTGCTTAATAATCCCTAGTGACAACATTCGTTGAATTTCTTTATTGACCGACTCGCGTAGACTGAAAGGGACCGGGTACGAGCGTCGCAAAAAAGGTGTCTCATCCGACATAAGGATTTTATGTTGGTAGCAGGGCGTGAGCCCCGGCTTGCCGCTAAACAGCAGCTGAAACTGGAGAAGGAGGGTTTCAAGCGAATCCCGCTCGGAGGCGCACAGAGGTAGTAGAGACACGCGGTGGTGAATTTTGGTCGCCACACTTTCTTCCACCACTGGTAGGACATGAATTGATGCTGCGGAAAGGATCGATGAACAAACAGGTTTTATGCTAAATGGAATATACACGGGTTTTTCAACCCCTAAGGTAAGAGTATCGCGTCTGAAGTCAATGACGCCCTGTACCTCATACATCCAGTCAATCCCCAAGATAACAGGGCGAATTAAATTCTTTACCACCAGAAAAACATGGGAGAACCGACCCGAGTTCGGTGGGATATGAAACTCCAGGCAAACCTGATATTTGATTTTGGTGCTAAGATGACCTGCCGCCCCTCGTAGTTGAGTGGAAAATACAGGAAGAACGAGAGGATTCCCACTACTCTTTAGTTTTTCGAATACCTCCTCATTTACGCAGGATAACTCACACCCAGAGTCCAACAAAGCCATCATTGACAGCCCAAAACACAAAAGAGAAATATGGGGTAGCTGACGAAGAGGTGGCGGCGCAGTAGGGTCCTCCATGATACCGAGGGGTATTAGCGTGTAAGTTCCGTCCCCCGTCTGAACAACCTCCAAAGAAGTGGGAAGTCCCTTGCCATTGGTTCCGCAAAGTTCGCCCGGTTGCCATCCCATGCGCTGCAGGAGTTGAAACCCCTTCGGAAATAGGTCTCGTAAATTGGTGGTACGTGCCGGAACGACGCAGTATAATTGGCGATCGGGACTAAAAAAGGAGAAGGTGGAGGCAGCAATAACCTCAGGGAAAACGCTCCACTTTATTTTCCCTTGAAGAAGTTTCCCGAACTCGGAGGCGGCGTTTTTGGGTTGAACGCAGGGGGAACTCCCCTAGACGTCGATGGAGTCCGATGTAGCGTCAGATATCGTTCTAGGAAGCTTAATGTACCCTGAAAACTCCGGTCGGCAGACGCGATCCATAACGACTGTACTGGGTGAGGTAATTGCTGTAAAATATCATAAACGACTTCGGTTTCGCTCAAATGTGGACTGAGGTCTTTAAGCCTGCTGAATTGTTTCATGAAAAATTCTGTCATACTGGACTTACCCTCGGTCCGGTATCTCATACCCAGAACATGTCGCCGAACACAAACCTGCTTTTCAGCCGACCAAAATACCCGTTTAAAAGCCTCAAAGGCTATACCCGCAGGTAACGTATTTACCCAAACAGAAGCAGACTGAAGAAAGCAGTGCTTAGCCAACATGACCAAGCTGGCGGTAGTGACCCGGTAAAACTCCGCATATTCTCTCAGGTTGGCTAGAAAGGTTACCGGATTTTCGTAATGATTTCCCGAAAAGGTGGGCTTCCGACAGAGATTGTCCATACCGTTAGAATTTCTGGCTGATAAGGACATGATGACCTGGTGACACTCCTGATCAGTTAAAGACACGTTATTCGTGACAGGGGGTAACCCGGTTAGGTTTGCCGGAGCCAAACGGCGCCGGCCACGGTCTCCCAAAGGCGTTGATGCGTATAAAGTAGGTGCACACTCACCCGTCGTTAGTACCCGGCGCGCGCTGCGCAAAGGTCCCGTGCTCGTGCTGGCGGTCTCCTCTCCTAGACGTCCGCATAACCGTTGCAGCAGGATACTTTGGGTGGAGAGTGTCTCTCGTAGCAGTGCCAGTTCTCCATCCATCCTTTGAAGCCTGTCGTCCGTGGGGTTTGAACTTGCAGGGATGTGGTCTACACGCAGGAGCCCAGCAGGGTAGGTGTACGCAGGAATACGAGCCGCTGGATGGTCGTCTGACGGTGTATGGCCCACACGACAGCAGCCATCAGGGAGAAGTTCTTCCGGAGCGTTGTCCGCAGGAAAATGGCCTGCAGGGTGGTGGTCAGCAGGGCTGTTGCCAGCCGAAGGGTAGCCTGCAGGACGGTCGGCAGCTTGAAGATGGCCCACAGGATTGTTGTCAGCAGGAGGATGATCTGCAGGACTGAGGCCAGCATGGATATGTCCTACGGGATGGTTGTCAACAGGAAGATGACCTGCAGGACTGTCGGCAGCCTGGATGGATCCTGCCGGATTGTTGTCAACAGGACTATGCCAGGTTACGCCAACTTCAGGGGCTCTTGTCGGTGTTGTACCCTCCATTTTCGTTTTCTGGTATGTTTAAACTGGTATGTTTAAACTCAAACGAGAAAAATATATATATCACCCAAACATAACAACTACACATTTTAAATACAACCTCCTCTCAGGCACCCCACATCTATCCTCCTATGCATCGGCCACATTCTGTGCCGCAACCAAGGACAATCCGAACAAGCCCAGCATAACTCCGACAACGACACCGTGCACTGTGTCGAAACCAAAGAAACCAAGCAAGTTCAATCATATCCTGGTCACGGCACCATTCTGTGATGGGCACGGGGTGGGGGTACCCCATACTCATGCAAACGGCAGTAACCCAAAGAGATTTTAAGAATCTCGCGAATTCAAACATAACCTCAACAACTTCGTAATGTTGTCAAGTGTGGCCAAAAACGGTGTGATCATCTAGTCTAGTCGGAAAGGTACCTACGTTGTGTTATTTGAATTCGCTTCTAGATAGGAAGGATGCCAGAGAGAGGAAATTAGATTAAGTAATAAAAACACACAAATAATGGTTGTCAGCTTTATATTCATTGTATTTGAATATTAGTTTTAACAATAGGTTTTATCAAACGTTTTGAGATTATTAGTTTCAGTTAGCTTTTTGTCACTTAAGGGGATTTAGATTTACTAGTTTAATACGGTAGATTTATAGAAATATATATATTTTCAAGTTTATGGGTTAAAGGGTTTTATTTCCAAAGTTTAATAAATGCAGATTCATAAGTATTATCAAGCCAAATGTAATATCAACTAAATTTATAATAATGATCATCAGTAACAATATATCAGCTCATTTTGTATAAACAGTCGAAACAGAGATACAATTCAATTTTATACAGCAAAACCTTCATTCTTATTAATCCTATTACATGGCGCAATAAATAGAGAAACAGTAATAATATACAATATAGTAATCATAGAAAATATAGTACGAATAATAATAATAATAATAGAGCAGATAATAATATCAACGTAATAATCAAAATAAGGCATATAGTAATAATAATATGTATGTAATAGTAAAAATAAGGAATATTAAGGTTTAATTTATTTAATATAATGATATCGACTTATGATACAAAATATACGAATTATAACGTCTCCTGAACTAGATAAATAAATATCAGAGTTAAAACCTTAGGAATCCACATTAAAATAATAAACTTGGTCAAAGCTTTACAACCATTTTAAATAATTAATTAAATTGATTAATATAATATTTATATCATACCTGGTATGTTTAAACTCACAAATACCTACACTTTCTTCTTCAAAAAACCATCAATCAATCAATATTTCAAAATCATTCGCCTACAACCTTGTTACTCTAGGAGACCTATTTTTTTATTTTTCACCTTTACTTTTAATACTGGTTTAGTAATATCCCAAACTTGCTGTACTCAAACTAACAATCTTTTACGCTAAGACTCGATATAATTTAAATAAACTTTTAAACGTCTTTAACACAGCTGATTCAAATTAATTTGTCAATGTCATCTCATTCTGTCAATATGACTTTAACTAAGTGCGTATAGTTGGTTGTCACCTTCTGCCTTACGAGTATCAAAGGCCGGGCCAACACACTATTTAATAAATGGAAACAATTTCAAAATGACATATTTAATTTAAATAATTTAAAAATCCCGCGTCATGTTATTTTATTTGATGCAGTTGACGTGCAATTGCATGGATTTTGTGATGCCAGTCAAAAATCATATGGTGCTGCAATATATGTACGCTCAGAAAATTCAAATGGTATAGTTGCAGTGCATTTGTTATGTGCCAAATCAAAGGTGGCACCGTTAAAGACCATTCCGACTTGAATTATGTAGAGCGGTTTTACTTGTCAAACTTATGACAAAGGTGTCAAAGGCATTAAATGTCAAAATTTCTGATAAATTTTATTGGTCAGACTCCACAATTTGTCTAGCTTGGATTTCTGCACAGCCCAGTAACTGGAAATTATTTGTATCCAATCGAGTGTCAGAAATCCAGCAATTGTCAAAACCAGAACAATGGAATCATGTCGTTTCGGAAAATAATCCAGCCGACATGATTTCCATGACTGCAAAAATAAATGAGCTCATTAATTCTCGTTTGTGGTGGCATGGTCCTACTTTTTTAATGCTCAATTGTGAGGATTGGAATTTAAAAACTTGTCAAAACATATCTTTAAACGTACCAGAAAAGAAATCAATAAAATGTTTAAACTTACAAATTTCCGAAGATTTTATATTTCATAGATATTCATCATTTTCAAGGCTGTTAAAAATAATGGCATATATCTTGCGTTTTATTCATAATTGTCAACCCAAAAATAAAAATTCTAAACGTAAAAATAAATTAACAAAACCAGAAATGGAAAACTCAAAAATTATTCTATCAAAACTAGCACAAAATTCATCATTTTCTAATGAGGTAAACTCTCTTAAAAAATCAGGTTCTGTTGCCAAAGGCAGTAAATTGCTATCGTTGGCTCCATTTTTGGATTCAAATGGTTTAATTTGAGTAGGAGGCAGACTAAAATATTCAAACTTGTCATATAACAAAATTCATCCAATTGTTTTGCCCAGCAATCATTTGTTTACAAGTTTAATTATTAAACATGAACATCTTAAAAACATGCATGCAGGGTCACAATTTATTTTATCAAGTGTTAGGCAAGAATTTTGGCCTTTAAATGGCAAATCTGCAATAAGGCATGTTTTAAGAAAATGCGTTACATGTTTTCGCTACAAACCTTCAAGTATTTTTCCGCAAATGGGCGATTTACCTTCTAAAAGGGTTACTCCAGCTAGACCTTTCAGTAGTTGTTGTGTGGATTATGCAGGGCCAATTTTTATAAAAAATGCAGCGTTTAGAAATAAAGCCTTTATTAAGGCGTAGGTACTTGTGTATTTTTGTATGCCTTATAACAAAGGCAACACATATCGAAGTGGCTATTGATTTAACTTCGGATTTATTTTTGAATGTTTTAAAGCGTTTTGTTTCTAGACGTGGGCTCCCTGAACACATTTTTAGTGACAATGCAACAAATTTTAAAGGGGCAAACAATATTTTACTTGACATTATGCTTAACACAACCAATTTTAACAATTTTAATTTTGAAAACAACATAACATGGCACTTTATACCTGCACGAAGCCCTCACTTTAACGGCTTAGCTGAGGCTGCCGTAAAATCAGCAAAAACTCATTTATTTCGTGTAATGGGTGATACAAAATTAACTTTCGAAGGTGTTTGCACACTTGTTACACAGATTGAAGCCATTCTTAATTCCAGACCTTTATTTCCTTGTTCCAATGATCCAAACGACTTCTCTCCTTTAACACCCGGACACTTTTTAATCGGTGACAAGCTGACAGCATTACCACAGCTCAATGTTGAAGCCACAGCAGTCAACGGACTTTCGCACTATCACCAGCTGCAGCAAATGATTCAGCATTTCTGGAAGAGATGGTCCATGGAATATTTGCACACAGTTCAACAGCGAATAAAGTGGCAGACGTCCAACCCGGCACAGCTGAGTCCAGGCGCCCTCGTTCTCCTCCGAGAAGACAACACAGCCCCACAACAGTGGAGACTTGGCCGCATAACAAAATTATATCCCGGAAACGACGGTGTTGTGCGTTGTGTCTCTATAAAAACATCCAATCGTGAAGTAAAACGGGCTATTCAAAGGGTATGCATTTTACCTACCTGCAACGAGGCTAGTGCTGTGTAAAACTTTCATATTTACAAGTATTTGTTTAAGCACAACTCATTTATTGTTATTTAGCATTAATTTTACGTTTTTTTTTATGGTTTTATTGACTTTTAATCTTTTCGATTATTTAGCCAGCTCATTATTATAAATTTTTTGGTTCTTAAAAACAACCACAACACCCAAGGCTGTGACCGGGAATCGAACCCGGTACCGTGGCGCAGATTGATTACCGCTCTGTAGCTTTAACGCACTGCGCCATCCTCGGCCCCTAATTTTACGTTAAAATCATGTTTTATGTATGACAGCTATAAATGTTCAAGTTTTTAAATTCTCACTGGATAAATTTCTTATATTTCAAATTCTTAATTTATCAAATTGTCATGTTGATTACTGTTTGGATTATATTTGCTTTATTTTTTGAAACTCGATCGTTTCAAGGTCGGGAGTATGTTTAGTTTCTTAGGTAATGTAGGTATTAGGTATTATTATAATATAAGTTCTTTATTTGTAATATCGCGCAGGTGCGCCCCTTCTACAGGTAAATGTGGTACGGTTGGAATTTCAACACAATAATTTGCTGTTCATTCATATTTTATACATCAAAATAAGAAGACTAATAAATTAAATCAAAAATCACTTACATTTTATTCAAATACAAAATTACAACACAATAAGAGAAAATATTAAAAACTCTACTATAGAGTCGCAAAACAAGCCTTTTAATAAAATTTTACCTTTATTGAAAATTCTTCAAAACTCATCAAATTTTTATAAAAAATATATTTAAATTAAAAAAAAAATATTTTCATAAAAAAAATTATTTATAATAAACAATTTGCAATTTTATAATTTTCTCAATGCTCTTTTTGAAAATCGTATTAATTTATATTTTCCTTAAAGTATTTCCAATAAAAAACTAAAAAAAAAATTTGGATTCTTAATTAAACGATTAATGACATTTGATTTTGTGAGCCGGCGCGACTTTTCTGTCCCTGGCGCTCGAGCGCGCTCCCGACGCGACCCATCGCGATGCGTACTTTATTATCAATAACTCTCCTATACTATACTATCAAGTACTTGATTTAAAAATGATTTTGTAAGGCTATTAAATATATATTATATGTATATATATACACAGGGTGTATCACTTTCGATGGTAGGTTAGACGTTTATGGAGAACGGCAAAAGATATCAAATTGAAATTTTTATAGGAATTATAATATCATTTAAACTATTTTTATAAATTGTTTTGAACAAAATCAATATTCCGGTTTTAACAGAAGCAATATTA